ATTGCTCTAGTTCAGTTAGATTTCCAGTTTAATTTGTGCAGCTGCTGTCGAAAATTACACGCCTACTACTTACGTCTCGTCAATTCTCTCAGTCCTTTTATACCTTATCTTTACTTAGTGCAATTTACGTAGACCAGACCTCTGCGAATGCTCATCTATTAAACTGGCTTGAATGCATGACACGAGTTGTACATTTGTATCCCTCACAAATGCATGCATCGCATTTCATGAAGGATAGCCTTATCTCACTTCGTGCTCTTTGACTGACCAAACAGAGTCCCAAATCAGTAGAGGTGATCATGCGTCTCCGCATTTATGTTCCTTGAATAGAGGACATTATAAGGCATTTATTACCAGTTTTACTTTTATGGACCCTGGTTATTTTGAGCTGTATACCTGGTAGGGATGCAACAGGTTAACCAAAACACTTCTCTCCAAACGGAGATAACTTCATTTAATTGTATCAATACCGCTGACTTACACACAATGGCCTGCACCTAATGGGATATCCGAACACTCCACAGTCATAATATTCCGTCACTCCTTCTGGAAGCATATTATGATAGTTATCTACAGTGAGGCATTCACGGCTTTTATTTATTTTAGAAGGCAGGAATTTCAATACACAAATTTCACACCAAGGACGCCTGTAGACCGCGTGTTCTGCATGTGTGTCACGTTTTTCGGACTTGCTACGACAATGCCTGTTGAGATATCACAGCTTAATATTTTGCCTCCTTGTAGAGTCGAGGGGTGCTTCAGTGGCAAATGTAATCAGCAGAGCAATCGTCTTCTTACAGTCTAATCCTGCCTTTTATTGCCTACCCTTTTCCAAAGCAATGATTGAAGTTACAACATCTTTTAGTTTTCCACTGCATGCGGAATATTTCGTGGCTGGGACAAAGTGGACTGTGATCATCACTACCTTCACCAAATCTATTTTTATCATGCAAGTTCTTTGATGACTCGCTGCGCACATTCTCTTTCCTCCCCTATTGAGATTGAAGTATTCCTGCCTCAGCGCAATAAGCAGCTGTGATTTAAAAATGGATTGTTATTAATAGAGTCAGTTGCAGAAGGAAGAACTTACGAGGGCAAATTACCTTGCTCTCACTTTTGCATGGCTTTCTCCATGCTAACCTCAATCTAGCATTCACGATCTACTATACCATGCGTTTTCCCACCAATTTTACATCTCAATTTTCCACGTGGAATGTACAGCGAGGATGTACCAGACCTGACTTATAGCTTTTTTTGTTCGTAAGGCATTGGTTAAAAGAAAGTGTTTCTTCGAAAGCAAATATTTTAGGTAACGTACTTCATTCTGCGAATCGTTGCGAAACACAAGGTCACCACTGAAGGATGCAACAACTATTCTTTGTCGGCTTTGGCAATAAATGATATTGCGTGAATACACTTAAAAAATACATTAAAATGATACAGTACTCCAGACAGGCCTTGAAGTTTTCATTTGCTAACCTTTACCAGAAAACAAGATGAATCCCTTTTAGTCTAGATACGCAGTTTTGCAAGCGCCCGTTGACTTTCAGCACGAGAGATCGGCTATCATTGAATACTTTTCCTCCAAAGTAAGATGCGACTACCTTACACGCAAAGCTGCTAACGGGAAATTCGCACAGTGCTGAATGATAGTATATCTCGTATTTTTT